CTTCAGGGACGGGATGCCCCTGAAGCATCCTTTGGAGAGCCCAAATAAAGGATGGACAGACAGCATCAGCCAGCAGCTTAGGCACACTTGGCATGGAGAGTGGGATGGAAGGGGCTTTGGCCACCCCAGGGTGGCCCTATGGACCTGCCTGGAAGGGTCCTTGGCACTGAGTGGTGTCACTGTAGTGAGACCAGTGTCACTGAGTGCCAGGGTATTGCCCAGAGGCTGGGGCAGCTCCTGTCCCTGGAAAAATCTTCAGCTCAGCTTTGAAAATACCTGTGGTGGCTGGGTGGCCCAAGGAGGTGACCTGCATGGTGGTGACCAGTACAGGGCCCTCTGCCAGCCCATGTCCCAGCTCTCCTGGGAGTTCAGGCCTTGCAGGCTGCTCCAGGGAGACTTTAAACTTGGAAAAGCTTTGGTAGGAGCATAAGGGTAAATTTCTAAAAGCTGTTGTTTTGTTGGGTGGGTTTTTTTGGTTGTTTTTTTTTTTGCCATTTGCATGTGGACAAAACCCATAAACAGTCATCTTTCCCCTATGCTACCAAGGGTTCTTAAGAAGTGGAGAGCAGACAGCAGAACAGGAGGAGGTGAGGTGAGGTGAGGTTGTCCTGTGCCCCACGGGGTGCCACAGGGCCCCTCAGAGCAGGGTGTTCCATGCAGGTGCATGCACTCTCTGTTAGTGGGAAGGTGCCACTGGACAGGACAGACCTGGCCCTCCAAGAGCTCCCAAGCAGTTTCTCCATCATTAACTTGCTCTTAGAATCACCAGAAAACCATTCCCTGCTGGTCCACTGACAGCTCTGGGGGACATTTCAGGAAGTCCCTGTGTCCCTTTCCCTGTGTCCCAGCTTGACCTGGCAAAGCTCCTGGTGCAAAGCCAGGCCTTGCTGAAGTCTGGTTTCTGCCCCTCCCCGTGACCCCTGCTGGGGGCTGAGCCCCCCAGTTCTGGCTCGACTGTCCCCAGCTCACATGGGGACACAGCTGCTCACAAAAGCCTTGTGGAAATCTCCTGGAAAGACTCTGCAGTGGGTGTGGAACCCTTCTGCAGCAAACACCCCCCGGAACATCCCCCCACAGCCCCTTTTTTGGAGGCACAGCAAAGGGGGCTCTGGACTCACCAAAATTCGCAAGAACACGTGTGTTTGCTAATGAAATGATGACCCAATTACACATTTTGGAGTTTTCCATGAATGTTTTATTAGTGAGTCATTTTATTAGCTCCACTTCAACGGGAGCTTTTGCATGCAAAATTTAGCAGCTGTCTGATTTCATCTTGAAAGGCTCTGAGATTGCACTGTCGGTTCCTTGACAAAGAGTAGCTGGGGATGCCAGGCAGGCGCTCTCCAAAGCCTTGGGACTTCAATTTGATCCTTATCTTGAAATAAAAGAAAGGCTTTATTCATAGGGAAAACAGAAACTGCCACCAAAGGATGTGGTTCTTCTTGACTTGTGGTTGTTGCAGAATTGCTGGGTCTTGAGATTTTCATGGGGGTATCAGGATGGGCTTTTCCTTCTTCTTCTCAGTTGTTGTCCTATACATGTATTATATTTAAATAAAGAAGTGATGGTGTTGGTGGAAGAGCAGCTGAAACAAAGCTCTTGCCCAGGGAAATGTGAATTCCCATTCAGCCAAAATAACCCTGATGATTTCAGGGCTCTGAACACCCAGACAGAATCTGAGCAGGATGGTGTCGCGGAGAAAGTTCTAAAAATCCCCAGTATCAATACACAAAGCAAAATCCTTTCCCTCTCAGACACTTGCTTTTCTCAAGGCTGGCCTACAGTTCTGTCTGATTCATAGGATGGGCCATGTGGGAATTCCTGTCTGAGGATGGGTCCAGCTGAAGCCACATCTCTGGAAGCTGGTGAAGTCAATAGGAGCAATGGTTCATTTTCCTTTGCTGAGGTTTATAAAAAATCTTCTCTTGGTTTCTTCAAGTTCATCACTACTATATTATGCCCCAAATAATGGAAAATCTTTAGTTTAAACATAAAAGAACAAACTGGCTCAAGCATTGTTAGAAAGGGAGGGATGCTCCATGTTTAGTGCTACTGCAAGGAGAACACACCATTTACTGAAGTGAACCAGCAGTGGGTCCTGTGATTTTGTGCTCACACAAAGAGACAGTGGAAAAGCAAAGCCTGTGACTTGTGAAGGATTTGTAACTGATGTGGTGGAGGAAACAGTGGGGCAGCATGGATGCTCTGCCCTGCTGCTGCCTCCGGTGAGCAAAGGAAAAAAAATCCTGCCAAATACTTACATAAAATGAAGTATCTTTTGGTTATATCCTTTTCAAATTCCTTATTTCCAGGTGGATGAGGCTCTGGCAGACAGCTGGTGCTGTGTGTTGTGCAAGGGAGCAGCCATAAGGTTAAATAACAAGTTTGAGAAGCTGGACACGCTCAAGGGAGACACAATAAAACCACTCTCACACTAGAAAAGAGCTGGCACTTTATTAACATTTTGTAACTAATAAATACATTACCAACAGCCAATAAATTATTACAATAACTAATGCTCTATTAAACCAATGGACAGTCACTCTTCGTACAAAATTACAGTTAATACAGTTTGGGCCATCAAACATGCAGGAGAAATGATTCAGCGGGAACCAGCAAAAGGAAAATGGTGACGGCCTCCGGTGATCCTCTGGGAAATGTGCTGGGGAGCAGGGAGCCCAGAGGCAGGGTGATGGTCACTCTTCCCTTGTTGAGCTGAAGTGGGAAAAAGGAGGTGGGGGATAGGGCTGAGGAGCACAAATTAGGGACTGGGCTAATTAACAGGGCCATGGCTGGTGCTTAAACAATCCTATCTGCTTGCCCAGCACCACCAGGCTGGTCCAGCACTGGAAAAGCTGGTGAGACTCAGGCACTGCTGAAAAAGGTGTTTTACTTGCCATGATCTCTTGTCCCCACCTGGAGCAGCGGCTTTAGCTCTGGAGCTGCTTGCCTGCACTACAGTCAGGACTGGGTCTTGATTTCCCAGACACTGGGTGGAGGAGGGCCTGGGCAGTGAGCATCCTGCCAGCTCCCAGCCCCTCTTCCTCTTCTCCTGGTCTCTCCTCCCTGTGCCTACTGCACCCAGTGTCCATGAACAGAGCTGCCCTCCTGGGGAGATGGGGGTTTCTTGAATCCAGCTCCCTTTCCCTCTGCCTGCAGGGTGCCACTGGAGGCTTTGGTCCTCCTCTCACTAAGGCATCAGTGTTTAAGGGCTGCCCTTGCTTGTGTTTTCACACAAGTAAAGATCTCACAGGCTGCTGGCTGTGGTCCTGTGCAAAGTCCCTTCCCACAGCCACATTCTCAGTGTAACTATATAGGTCACGTACCTATATCTGTCAGCATCAATCACCTCGTGTCAGTGCTGCAGCTCAGAAATGACACAGTACCCTCGTCTCAGGGAGCCTCAGGGTCTGTTTGCCTGCTCTCTCCTGCAGGGAGGTGGAGGCAGGACCGTGGTCTGCAATTTTGTGCCACTTGGACCACGTCTCTGCTTTCTCATGTGTGCACTGGGGATGCAAGTGAGTGACAGGTCTGGGTGCCCAGGGTCATGCTCAGTAACACCAACCCTACTGACCTTGACATGTCCAGTGTCAGACCACTATGAAGTGTTTTAGTCCCCTTGGAAATGGTTGTGGAGTTTTTGGTGGTAAGCCTGAAGACAAAGCATGAAAACACCCAAGCACACTGGAACAAAGCTTCTCTAATTGACTTGACAGATGGTCAGCCTTCTTCCAGGAACTCAGCAACTCTCCCTGGCTCCAGGAGACTTTGTGACCACAAAAGGCTTGGGACATGTCACACAAACTAACAGTGCAGGGTTGGTCCCCTTCCCAGCACTGACTGCAAATCCCCCAGGGGCAATGTCTGCCTTGTTGAGCTGCACAGTGAGGCTGGGCACATGGGGAGCTCTGGCAAAAGGACATCTATATCACATCCTGAGCTCTTGGAGACTGCACTCCTGGACTGAGAACAAGGCCTGTTCCCCTGCAGGCAAGCACTGGGCTCATGCCACAATAGATTAAACCCATCAGATGTGTTTCAATGTACATTAAAGACCGCCCTCATTAATACTTTCAGTGTCCTGTGAAACAAAATCACATCGATAGAGGAGGAGCAGCAGGCTCCTCCTGAGCAGCTCTCCCCTCTGTGGAGGGACAGGCTGGCCGGCCATCCAGGAAAGCTGCCTGAAGGCAAGAAGCTAATTCCGGTACAGAACTCCTGGGAGCTGTAGCTGGCAGTGCTGTGGGCAGCAGCAGGAGCCCGGGGAGGGCAGCAGCAGGGACTGTGTGCTCGCAGGGCCAGATGGCCGCGCCGAGCGTCCCGCTGCCCGCACGGCCCTGTGAGAGCCAGGCTGTGCCACTTCTGTGTGCAGGATTAAAGACTGCCTTTGGCAGTCTGCTGCTGTATTTTATGTGTGCTTTCCCAGTGCGTGGTTATTGCTCGTTCTCCCAGCCAGCCCAGCTACTGCATCCTCCCAAGGAGCTCTGCAGCTCAGCCCGGCAGCGCTGCAAGACTTTTCTTGTGTGGGGTTCTCTATTTCATTGAAATTGTTGTTTAAATAAAGAAGCTATTTGCATTTTTGTGGTCTCATGGCTCCACAACCGACCCTCTCATTGACTATGGAGCAAGCCAAGCTGACAGGGAGCTTCCTTTCTTTCTTTTTGCTGCTGTCTGAAGCTTATCATGAGTTGCTAATGCTACTTTCAGTGCTGACACTCCTTGGATGCTTCTGCTGCTGGAGCAGTGACCTGAGTCATTAAAAACCTTCTGTATCCCAAAAAAAGGTGGGGGGTTTTTTTGTGTGTTTTTTTTGTTTTGTTTTGTTGGTTTTTTTTTGGTTTTTTTGTTTTGTTTTTGGGTTTTTTTTTGTTTTGTTTTTGTTTTGTTTGTTTGTTGGTGTTTTTTTTTTTTTTTTTTTTAAATTTCCCAATTTGTTTTTGAGGGGACTTAAAAACCTTCTGTATCCCAAAAAAAGGTGGGGTTTTTTTTTTTTTTTTTTTTTTTTTTTTTTTTTTGCAAATTCCCACATTAGCTTTGAAGGGCAGCAGGGTGTATACATAGCTGTTTCTATTTTGTGCTTTTAAAAATCTATCCTCCATGCCCTGGTAGGATTTCTGATGCAGCTGTACCAGTTGCAACATCCCTGCTTTGTGGAGACTGCAAAGGAAACACAGCTCTGGATCTCCAAGGGTCTGGATTCAGAGCACAGCAATTGCAAAGCACAAGGGGCTGTTAAGAAAAGCCTTTTGAAAGCAGGCAATGTATTTCAAGGTACTTTTTAGGCAACTACTGCAAGAATTGCTTGTGTTTAGAAAAAGTATGGGGCAAAAGATTGCCTGCAGAAGGCACATCTGTCAGGAAGGGCTTCGGAGGGTGCAGAAGCCAGCAGTGAGTAATGATTTGGCAGGAGTTCTGGAGACACAAATCTATACACGGTGGCCATCAAGCAGAACTAGTAGTGTTTAACACTGGAAGCATTTCATCTTCCAAAGGCTGCTTCCAGCATTTGTCAGTGAATCCTCATGACACTCGTGTGAGGGAGGGAATGTCAGCAGCAGCAGCTGAGATGAAGCTTTAGACACACAATATGCCAGAGAAAATGAAAGAAGAGGCTCTTTGTGGCAACATTTCCTCTGCTTTTTCTCCCTTTTCTCCCCATGGGGCACCAGCTGCTGATGGCCATCAATGTGCCAGGGACCTGCTGGAGCTGCAGAGGGGGCTTGGACCTCCCAGCTGGCAAAGCTGGGAATGGGTTACCTGAATCCAGCCTGGGGAGCAGTAAAAGCACACTGGGCCAGCACTGGCCACTTGACTGCATTTGGCAGAGTTTGGAGTTAATTTAAATTGTCTTTACCAAAATATTCCTCTGTGCTTTATGCTGGGAGTTTACAAAGCCTTGGTGTGGTGCAGCCTTCCCTGGGAACAGCTTTTGTTACTTATTTGCTTGGATGAAACATCATTCACAGCAAGGGGTGGGAATAGAAAATCTCAAAAACTCCAGTGCTTCTGATCAAACGCTTCTTATAGAACTTAATAAAAGACCTACATCCCTGCCAGCACCAGCCATCATCACTCTGGGTCCACTGGTTACACATTTTAGGTACCAAATGTAACCAATGTGTGTTTTTTCTTGCCATGGGCTTTGTACAACACCCACATGGATGCTGGGTGTTGCTGCTGGGGCACAAGGAGCAGAGAGGAACTCCTGGTTTTGGCCAGCTCTTTGCAGGAGCCGATGCCATTGGAGGCATTTTAAGGCTGAGATGGTGAAGAGAAAAAGGTGGGTGTTTGCTTGTGCCAGAGCAGGGGAGGCAGGGAGTTGTGTTATTGCTCTTAGTGCCCAGCAGAGCAGCAGCAGATCCTTGCTGCACAATAGTAAATGCATCATTTAATGCTCTCTGGGGGTTACTGACAGTCACCAGCCATGCTGGGCTGCAGCTGGTTGCATGGGTGACAGACACCCCCTTTTCCTCTGCAGGCCTCAGGGTGCTCACATCCCTTCCTGGGGATTTGTCACAAATGTCCCACAAATACTGTCCTGGCAGAGCACAGCCCCTGATGGGGACTCTCCTCTGGCTCCCAGGTGCCCTTCTCTTCCCATCCTTCCTGCTGTCTCAGTCTGCCTCATATCCCTTCTGCAGCTTGTCTCCCAAAATGTTCCCTAAGCCTCTCCCACTGTCCTCTCCCTCCTGTGCCACCATATGTGTTCCTCCCCTTGGGGCTGTGCTGCTCTGGGCTGCTCTCACACCCTCTCCTAAATGGGCACAGTGAGAAGAGATATTGTCCCTCTCAACCACAGCCCTGAAGAGACCTCCTGAGACCTGAGAGCCACTCCTGGATGAGGCTCCTGAGAGAGGACAGCTGAACTTCTGCCACTAACAAGCTTCTGGGGTGGACTTCTAAGAGTCCCTCCATGTCCCCAGAGGTGACATCCCACCTCTCACATTCCCTTCTGCCTTTGACTCAGCAGCACCCAGAGTTCTTGGTGGTGGCCACACATACCTCAGCCCTCCTGCATTTGTCCTCTCTGAGCCCCCAGTTTTGCTGTGCTGGGTGCTACCCTCGTCCTTCTCACTCCTCTCTCCTGCCCTTCCTTCTTTTTTCCCTTGCACTTTTCCTTCCTACTCCATCACTTGACTCAAATCAGCTCCCTGAGCTCTCCTCTGTCACTGTTAACCATCCATCTCAGTACTGATGAAGAGATGCCCTGACTGGAGACACCAACCCTGGAGCTGTCTCTGGGATGCTCAGGCAGGAGGTGACACAGGAAAGGAGGCTCAGAGCACAAGGTTGGGCTTCTCAGGGGGTTTAGATGCCCAAGGGGCAATGAAGGGCCACGAGGTTCTTGCACACTTTGCTGCTGCCCAAGCACAGGGAGGTTTCCCAAAGCACCTTTCCCATCTCAGGCACTTGATAGTCAGACTCTGCCTACAAGAAGCCAGGGCTAAATATTTTTTGTGCTCCCCAGCATTTCAAGGCTGAAGTTTGGAAAGTGATGCTGTGTGTTTGCAGGAGCATCACCTTTGCTGGGAGGTGCTGTGGGAAAGGTCCCCAGGCTGGATTCCTTGTCAGGGTGCCACTGAGTGTGGAGCTCCCATCAGGACACCATTCCTGGGACATCTCCACTGCCTACACTCCAGGGGTCCCAGCCCAGCGCCTCCATGGCCCCCATGGAAGTGCCTCAGAAATGGGTTACAGCAACCACTAGATACATTTTATCATTAATTTTGAAAAACTTGAGGTAAAACTGCTACCAGTAATGAATGCTTTTAGACAAGGCTTAGTAGGCTTGGTTACTGTGTCCCTGTTACTCAGACACCAGCAGGACTCGATATGGCTGTTTTACTTGTTCAAATAGCTGTCTGGAAAAGAGGAGAATGTATAAATCCAAGCTATGGTGGCTGCATTCCACACCAAACCCTCCAGCTTTGGGGTCAGAACTGGAGCTGTAAGATACCCTCAAAATGATCAGGTTGTATTTAGCACTTCCCAAAGGAATAGCGTTTTTTAAAAAAGGCAAATAACCAGGAGAATGAACAATATTCCTTAATTTTCAAGGCAAAATAAAAGTTTTGGTTCCAAACTACACTGTTCCTGACCAGTATTTTAAGGCTTTGATTTTTTTTCTCTCTTTAAAACTGAAGTATTTTTGTCTTTTGGCAGTTGAAATGCACTTCGTGGGAAATGCGTTAGCTCCCTGCACAACACTGTGAATCGGAACGGAGGAGTAGAACGGGGCAGCAAGGGAATGAACCAAAAATGGACCAAAATAAAATAAAACGGGTCTGGGGAAAGCAGAACTTGCTGCAGAGTTTTCTGGGACGGGAGGTGGGAATTATGTATTTCTTCCTTGTCATCTTCCGAGGAGGAAAAAGCAAGGAAAGGGAGGACCTGTCCGCGGGAGCGGAGGATGCTCGGGCGGTGCCAGGAGAGGAGAGGAGGAGGAGGAGCCCTCAGTAGAGTCCGCATCCCCGCAGGTTGTTGGCGATGATGACATCCGTGACCGCGTCGAACACGAACTGGATGTTGTTGGTGTCGGTGGCGCAGGTGATGTGAGTGTAGATCTCCTTGTTGGCCGACTTGTTCTTGCTCTCGTAGTGGGTCTGGATGTAGGCCACCGCCTCCGTGAAAGCGTTGGGGCCTGCAGGAGAGCCAGGGGAAAGGAGAGAGAGGGTTAAAGCAGCCCCATGCCTGCAGCCTGCAGCCTGCCTGCAAACACCCCTGTGGGGATGTGGGGGGCTCCCGTGGGGCTGCTGCAGCCCTGGTGCCCTCTCTGCAGCTCAGGGATGGGCACTGTGACCAGCCAGGATCGCTGCCAGGCAGGAAATGCTCCCTGACTGTCAGCTCAGCTGTATTTTTATTCTGGGTTGCTGTTTATAGAGATGAAATAGATGAGGGAGCTGAGTGTTAAACAGGCTATGATGGAAGAAATTCCACATTATGGTGACAAAAAAGAGAAGAAATGCAGTAAGTGCTTGACCTAGGGAAAAGGCTTAGCTTTTTTCCTTTTTTAGATTTTTTTTATTAAAGCTTCAGTTTTTGATGGAAGAGTTAATATGAATTGAGGGCAGTATTGGTAGCTGTGCCCTCCTTTCACTAAATCATTAAGAGAAAGGGACATGAAGAGATCTAGCCTCTGTTACAGGGCAAAATGGGCTTTTCTCAAAAAAAACCCCAAATCCCAACAAAAAGATTAATACACAATGTCCCTTTTTTTAGGAATTAGGATTGCAGTACTCTCTGCTACAGCCATGGCTAAAATCACACTGTGAGGAGTTTCTTTTTTTGATATAAGATCTAACCTCTGTTACAGGGCAAAATGGGTTTTTCTCAAAAAAAACCTAAATCCCAACAAAAAGATTAATACACAATGTCCCTTTTTTTAGGAATTAGGATTGCAGTACTCTCTGCTACAGCCATGGCTAAAATCACACTGTGAGGAGTTTCTTTTTTTGATATATAGAGATATCTGTACCAAACCTGATTAACCCTCAAATTTTGTTTTAAAAAAAGCTTAGAAGAAGTCATGCAAATGAGTAGATCCTTTCTCCTCTGGCCAGCTCTGACCCTGCTCACACACACGGCTCCTTTTGGGCTCCTCCTTAAGGCTGATGAAGGCTCTGGCTGGCCTGGAGTGCAGCTCCCAGCACTGCCAGGCACTGCCTGACCCCCAAAAGGCTCCACAACAGTAAAACTGCTACTGCTTTTGGGTGTCTTTCTCTCTGTGGTGCTTTACTGATGGGAAATGCTGTTATTTGCTAGGGAGAAGCTTACTGGGGCTGGAGATATGCTGTGGTGGAAGGCAGCTACTCTGGGAAATCCCACTTGCACACACATGCACTGCTCGTGGAAGGCACAAATTCATGAAGAACATGGAACTTGAGAATAAGCGTGAAGTAAGAGAAGCAAAGTTTTCTCTGGGAGCAGATCAGATTCTTGCATGAAGAGCTGTGTAAAGAATCAGTTCCACATGCTGAGCACAACCAGGAGGTTATTTTATGAACAGGAAGTTGGTTGTTCAAAGACATGAGGATTTAGATGTTTGATTCTGTCTAGGAGAGCAGGGAATCACTAATGCTAGCTTGGTTTAAATCAAGCTGTGGATTCTGCTGCTGCTTTACTAAGTATTGTGGATTAGTTAAAAGCATGAGTGAATTAAGGGGATGGAAATAGTGCTCCAGAAAACAGCAGGCAAATTTGTGGATGCAGTCTTCTAATAATTCCCTGTCAGCAGAACTAATGGACATCAGAAATTTCATTTCATTAAAAGCATTTTGTGGAACCTACTTGTGATGTTGAAAGTCTGCTTGTTCAGTTTATAGGCTTTTATCAAATAATTCTTTTTAACTCCAGGGCAACATTCTAATAATGCTGCTTTTTCATGAGGCCACGAGGGTTTCATCCTGTGGGCTGTGGCCAGCAAAGCAGGGGCGAGCAGACTGAAGTGTGTGCTTGGGTCTAAAGCCTGGGCTGAATGTCAGCACAGCTAACAGCATTGCTGAACACCTGGGGGTGAGATAACTCCTCACCTCAGATCCCTGTTGGATCAGTAAAGGGACTTGCAGCAGCCAGACTTCCTGCCCTCTCTGATGGCACAAGGGAGACAAGAGATCTATTGAGGGTCTCTGGCATTGTGGGGAACTCCCAGCTTCCAGAAAAGCATCCTGAAGGAATTTAGAGCACATTTGGGGTGCCCTGAGACTTGGGGAAGATTGGTTTGGTTCACTTGTGGCTGAAGTGCTCCAGACAGCAGCTTTGTTTTCCTCTGTTTAATCAGCCAAGAGCTTAGCCATGTGTATGAATGTCTGCCTCCCCCACTGAACTTCCCTCTTGGGCTGGGAGAACTTGAGAAGGAATATATAAAATGACATTCCTTCTTGTTCTTCTCTCTGACATCAGGGGTTCTGTGAGAATGTTACTTCAGAGTGAGGTTTCTGGGAGACACCAATGATTATCTACAAAATCAGCTGCACAAAATGTGATCAGGAAGGAGTGAGAGGTGAGGGTTTGCTTCACTGAGAAAAGGGAAAGGAAGAGGACATGACAGAAACCATCCAGTACAGACAAGCACTGCTATAAAGAAGATGGTGATGAGCTGCTCTACAAGCCATCCAAAAGCAGCAATCTAATTTGCAGCCAGGAAAATTTGGGGTAGGCATTATTGTGAGCCCAGCTGTAAAGACTGAAATTTCCATGATTAGATCTTTTCAGACAAAGATGTTGGGAATATGTTGGTTCTGTCTGGACCAAGCAGATGACTAGATGGCTGAAATGTGCTGGTAGTAACAAACACCAAAATCTTCCCTGGAGAGGAAGCCTGCAGATGTTCTGAATTCAGCTGGAGTTGTTCAGCTCCATGGCCACAGACCATTCAGCCCAAAGCAGCGATGAGGGATCACTTTTGTCTATTCACAGTGAAAAATCAAGTGCTCAGAGATAAGAAGCTCTGCTTAATAATTTGTTGGTCTACCCAGAACTGTGACACTCCTGGTGCTCCTGGTTCACAACTGTTTCCTGACAAACAGATTGGCTTCTCTGTCTGTCGGCTTGATTCATCTGGATGTCTCCGGTGAGTTTAAATAATTCATGACGATAAAAGTTTATTTTTGTGCCATCTTAGAATGGTAATGAGGGTTTGTGGAAGCTGGCGAGATGCAGAGGGAAGCAGCGGGGTGCAGCTGCAGCCTTTGCATGGGTGATGTGTTGCCATCATTAGCGGGTCAGATGCCAGGCAGGCAGCAGGGGCAGGGGCTTCTCGCACACTGCCCATCCCAGAGCTCCTGCTCTCAGCTCCACGGATCACCAATGCCTGCTTCTCCCCAGCCAAGCTCAGGACACGGCTCACTGTGGCTCTCCTCTGCCTGTACTATGGGTTAAGAGGTGTGGGAAAATCAAATATTAAACACCTTGTTTTCTACCTGCCTTTAACTGGAAGTGTTTTCATGTCCAGACACTTTATGTCGGCAAACCTGAGAGCAAAAGTGGGGCTTTTCAACTGCTGTGATGCCAATGTATTGCTTGAGCTGAAGCAGCCAAGCTGTGAGACCTGCTGTCTGCATACTGAGGGCTGATCATGGAATCATAGAATGGTTTGGGCTGGAAGGGATCTTTAAAGGTCATCTAATTTAACCCCTCTGCAGTGAGCAGGAACATCTGCAACCAGGTCAGGTTGCTGAGAGCCCCATCCAGCCTGGACATAAATGTTTCCAGGATCATGATGATTTTACAGCCCTGCAGTGGAAGTGGAGAAAGTGGCCAGGAACTGCAGAGGGATTCTTGTTGTGGCCATAAGGGACCATGGTTGGGTATGAAAGAACAAAGCTGTACTCCAGCTGAGGACAACCTAACAAACCCTGTGTGTTGGTCTCCTGTCACCCATTTATAAACGACCTGCAAGAAGGTTCATGATCCTGTGTGACACAGGGAACCAGTGCACATGGGTTTGGGGAGTGCAGAGTGGCCCCAGACCTGCAGGTGATGGCTTGGCATCAAACCCACTGGTGAGGCACAAATCACACACCTGAATCAGTGCTGGCGGCCCTTTGCCAGCAAAGAACTTGGGTCAAGTCATCCTCCTCCTTTAAGTGGGCCATGGTGGGGGTGATGCTTTGGCACTTACTGAAATAAAACCTGTAGTGAAGCCAATGGGAGCTCTAGCTCTGCATCTTTAGCCTCGTTGCCTGCAATACACTACAGCATCAGCCTGGCTGGGGAGAGCTCTGTGGTCCCTTTGCTAAGCACTCCTGTACAGCCACATTTCTCATTACCTGTGTACTCAGGAAAGCAGATACTCAGTGGAGATTTCTTAATTTTCTCCTCAAATATGTCCTTCTTGTTTAGAAACAGGATGATAGAAGTATCTGTGAACCATTTGTTGTTGCAGATGCTGTCAAAAAGCTTCAGAGATTCGTGCATGCGGTTCTGCAACAGAAAGGAAAGATCACATCAGGCCAAAGCCAGCGACCCAGGGATGTTCAACATGTAGGGAAATCTAAAACAACTAAATTAAGGAGGAAAGCAACAAAAAAGAAAATCTACAATATACATAATAAATTTATGTATACATACAGCTGAACATATACATACACAGATGCAATCCCTATTACATTTGATATACAATTAGTAACTTAAGGGCATTTAACAATACAGAGCTGTTTTGATTTTGCATAACATTAATTTACAGGATCCCAGCTCATAGAAATCATCATGCACCATGCATGGATGGAGAATTATTTTTGCCCTTTGATCAGATTTATGTGTCGGTGTAGCTCATGCAGATTTTCTAAAACGTTTTCAATAATTTTTCTAAAATGTTTTTCCACTTTCTCGAATGTGTGAGGCACACAACTGGTTACATTAACCAAGGACTGGTAGATCCTTGAATTAATCTAGAGTTGGAAGCAGACATCAAGGTGACATAATTTTGGAAATGACCTTGCCGTGACCTTTGACTGGTTTTGTTATTTTGTTTAGTGTTTTCTGTTGTTGTGCTCTTAATTTTTGAACTTTTTGGTTTTAGTTCTCTCGGAAGACGGCTCAACAGAAAGTGTCTCGCAGAGAGGAAAAAAAGTGAAAAAGGAGGAGAAAATAGTACAAAAAGGAAAAACATAACAAAGAACATCTAAGAACAACCAGACTAGAAGTCAGGCAGCTACCACTGGTGTTAGCTCATGCCTCTAGAAGAAGATTAGCAGAAGAGCCATACATCCAAATGTACGCACAGAGAGAAGTCAACTTCTTGGTTATAGGTCATGCAAAAAAAGGACACGGAAAAGGAGAGAGATGGAAAAACCAGACCAGTTAGAGAGTTGCAAAGCTCGCCACATGGGTTTATGGTGGTGGAAAGAGCTCACGGCAAAGTCAACCAAGTGTCATGTTCCCCGCTGCTTTCAACTCCCAATTCGGTTTTCTTTTCTTTTTTTTTTTTTTTCTCGGTTCAAGAGAAGCTTCATACCTGCCAAATTTGGTTGGTCTCTCAAATGCTCATTTTTTGGCCTTTGTTTGGCTAGATAAGGTCAGACGGCCGAGGAAAAGCTGTGGAGGTGCCGAGGCTGGCGACGTGTGGCGCCGAGGCCGACGCCGGAGCGCGCACGCCGGTCGCGTGGCCGTCTCTCAGCCGGGAGCCGGGTAGCGCAGAGAGCAGGCGCGGTGAGGATGTGAGGATGAAGCACACCCAAGAGTCAGGGGGTTATCAAAGGCAAAGCATGGTACAGACCAGACCGGCTCCTCGGCTTTTCCAGCGGGATCTCCTCAGGACTGCGCTCCCCAAACCCGCCAGTGCGCGTAAGAAACCAGTTACAGCCATCACCACAGAGACACTGGAGAGAACGGGGCTGCACGGGCTTGTTACTGGGGGGTTTTTGGGGTGGGTGCAGCATGTCCTGTTCCCACCAGCCCTGGATTTGGGAATGTGGAGTGGTACATGAGTCAGCTAGGGGGCTTCACCCCTCTCCCACTCCATTTCACACCTGTACTGGCATAAAGTTGAGCCCAGCACTTCACTGATTAACACTTTCCTTTTCATTGATGTGCTTTAGTGTCTACTGAATGGTTTATATAGACAGAAGAAGCTTCATGGATGAAAGAAACATCTGATCCAGCCCAAAGTGAAACAGGACACGTGATTTGCTGTGCCCTGTCTTGAATGACCACACATTTCCCACCGTTTGTATTGACACACAGGGACGACGCGATCACATACAAACAAAGCATTTGCTCATTGGGTCTCTGTTGTAACACGTTGTTTATCTGGATCAGCCTGTGCCTGTGGGCTGGGTTTTGCTAACCCATTTGGTACTGGCTGTTGTGGGAGCCCCTGGAGCAATGCTCCCCTTTGCTACTTGTGGTGCCAAAATTGTAACCACATAGAAACCTGGTGTACAAAGGTTTTGTGCAGTGGATCCTTGGATATTCAAAGCCTTTGGGAGGAGAGAATGAAGTGGAACGTGGTCAGGGGAACAGAAAGTGAGTACAATTAACCATTTTTTAAAGCAGGGTCCCTCACAGAATATTTTAAATGACATTTTTATAATCCTTGCTGATTTAAACCAAAATTGTGGAGAAACACGGGAATGCTGCTTGTGGGCTAAACCCACAGCTCATCCACAGCAGCCATCAGCCACCTGGGCAGCCTCGTGCCATGGCACCACACTGCACAGCCCTGGTGGAGAGCAGAAGGGTGAAACTGCTCTTCATGGCATGGGGAGCACCACAGGGTGACAAGTTTGTCTAAGAAACAGAGGCTGAGGACTTCTGAGCTGGGCTTCATGGTTAGGTGAAGCCAACTTTTCTACAGTTGTAAGACTAGGTAAGGATCCTGCAGAAGTCCTCCTACTTCTCTGATCCAAGTTGATCAATTTGCGTTAGTGAATGTTAGGAGATGAGATTGTTTTCCCAACAAACAGTGACTTAGTGTTCAGTGGTAACCAGAATACAGAATCACAGAATTGTATACACACAGCACAAACCAATACATCCTACTACAACATGAGGGTTACACTAAAAGATCTCTATTCCTTTCAGATTCCAGAAACAAGGTTCAAAGCTTCCTAAGGCTGTCTGACCTGCCCTTCTGATCTCTACATGTTGATTTTCCCTCCAGCTCTGCCAGTCAGACAAATAAACATAATGAACTACTCTGCCCACTCATCCTTATTTATGTGGGAAATGTTTTGGTCTTAAAATCCACCTTTTCCTTCCCCACTACTAAAGAGAAGATGACATTATTCCAAACCCAGAAGATGATGTTATTCAAAAACCATAAATTCCTTTCTGTGTGTGGCAAAGGTGCAGAGCAATATTCTGGTGAGCAGGCATGGATGCTTCTGTCGTCATACCTGGATGTCATATGGGAAATGCTGTTGCATCCCAGGAGGGCTCTTGGGAGAGCTGTCCTGATGCTGGCTAGCATCAGGAATCCTCACTGTCTCACTTTCCTTTCCCTCCCCAACTGTTTCTAGTTCAATAGATGTTTGTAGGAGCCCTGCAACAGCTCAGGCAGACCCAGGTGCAGAGACAAGGATGAGGAAGCAGTGTCTGGGTACCACATGTAAAAGGACAGACTGCTGCTAAAGCAGGAATAAGAAATTAAATCCCCCATATAATCCCCCTCCTCCCATTACATACACAGTGGAAGATCAGTTTAGTCCCTTAGAACTTGACTGGGGCCCCTTTCTGCTGTGATGGACCAGATGTGCCTATTCTGCTGGGAGGCACTAAAGATTATGCTCCTCATACTTTTAGATGAAGTGACACAAATTATTTCACCTGCTTTTGGACCCATCATGCTGCCATTTCTCACTTTATGTTGGGTCTCTTACTAAGGGAAGAGCTCTTCAGACATTAATTTCTTAATGTCACTTCTTATTTCAAAACTGCTATCTTAAATCCTTACACTGGCAAATATTTCGTACCCCAACAAGAAAAGTAGTTCCAACAACCATGTTACACAGGAGTAACCACTTGCCCATGCATATTCAAAGTCCAGTTAACTTTTCCTGCACAGGACAAGAGAGAGAATTGCTTATAGCTGAGTTCAGATGTCATGGCACAGCCGTCACTGATGTGAAGAGCAAACAGCTTTTCACTCAGCATGAGGGAGAAAGGATGCTGCGGTCAAGACTCTGTCCAGGCAGAAACACACTTATAAAACCCATTTTTTTTACCCAGAGTATGGGAGGAGACCTGGTTTTCTGCAACACCCACTTTTTTCAATATTTTCTGTTTTCCTTGGTGATTAAGTGCTAGCTGTCACATGAACTGTAAGGACACTGATGGTTATCCTAAGCACAGCAACTCCATATTCCCCCTCCTGCTTATATTAAGATGTTCAAGCTACTTTGGCTTGCTTTGTCACTCCTAAGGCAATTTCTGAGCACTGCAATTCTATTTTCCTTGCCCAATGACAGCAGAGAGAGCATGCTAACCAGGTCAAGCAGTGTGATACAAACCAACAGGGCAACACTAATGCACCAAGGGTTACCAGCACAGAGCTTCCACCCATCCCATCCTCAGCAACAGGGACACAAACAATACTTGCATGTCTTGCCTAGAAATGATTGACCTAAATATCTTAGCTTCAGAGGCAGCAATGTGCAGCATCAACACCTCCCTCTCTTTTTAGTCTCTTGCTATGACTCCTTTGAATTTGCAAGGTGAAAAAACAGAGGATAGTCTCAGTTCCCATGGCAGGTCCCATTCCATTAAGAATTCCATTTAGAAAGAACAATGGAAATCTACCTTTGTGAATCATCTTCTCTAGTTTTACTGAGTGATATGACTGTCCCTCTCTCTTCCCAGATTACAGAGCTGAGGCTTTTCCTTCTGTAACTTCAATTTATGAAACAAAAAGATCAGTCACAAATGAGAGGAAACAGCCTTGTATATGCAAAGACATAATCCAGGGAGGTGTTCTGCCAGTTCAAGCAGGATGTTCCCACTGTGTACAAATATGGCAGAGAGCCTGGCAGGTCCTTCTGAAGGACTTGGTAAAGGCACAGGCAGGTGTGCACCCTTGAGGGCAGTGCCGTGTGTGTTGGATGGGCTGGGCAGAGGGTACTGTTTTGCCACATGGGCTTGGGCTGATGGCAGCAATGGGACTGATGAAGGCATTGCTTGAATCTCTCTCATGCCTTGTTCCTCTCCCCTGGGAGCTGGGCACACAGGGACACAGTTTAGATTTGCCAACAGCAGCATAAGGTGTTGGAAGCAAAGGGAGAAGTTGGATTCAGCAGTACTGGGAGTTTCTGTGAAAAGTGTGATCTTTATGGGTGTATGGGCCTAAAAATCACAGATGCAGAAAGTTTTCTTTAGTTTCTTTATGCCTTTCTGATCTGGACATTGGAGAGTACTTGCTTTTCTCAACTCCTGCTGTGTGGCTCTTTGTGACAGGGAATTAGAGAGAAAATACATCCCTTATAAAAGACTGCCTGCCCTTAAGAACCAGGGACAGCTTTAAACACAACGATCTTGTTTTAGCTGCTGCTGGAGGATGGGTGCTCAGTCTTTTAAAACAAAGAGCACAATAACCCACAAAACAACTTTACAAGCATAGAGCTGTGCTTGAATTTTAAGGGCAGGGACAGGTCAGAGAGTGCTTCACCCAGCCTCGTTTAACCAGCTCTGTGGAAAGGATTCACAATAAACCTGTTTGTGAGCTTTTTCCAGTGACACAAGCTGACCCTACACTTGTCCCACCTGGACCTTACCAAGGTGAGCCTGTCCCTGGTCCATGTGATGCTGACTGCATCTGAACTGCAGTTTCCTCCACCTGAAGTGTGGTTTGACTTACAGAAATGCAAAAAGCACCTGTGAAATCCTGTACTCATTGACAACAGGGTGCTGAGTGCAGGAGGAAAACCCATTCTCTACATGCACCCAGCTTTGGAAGGGGTTTTTTGGACCCTGATATGCAGTTGGGTTCTTTTCCTCTCATGGCTCCATGCCAGGCTCTCTGCAAGTCCTTTCATACTCATGGAGATATCTGTACAGCCCCCAAACCTTCAGTGGCTCAACACAGCTGCAAGTGCCTGGACTGTAGTAAGTGTCTCTGAAAAATGAAGCTGGAGGAGTAGCATCCAGCTCACTTTCTCAGCTGCCTCCTCTTTGTGTTTCCAAGTGAGAAGCAATAAAAGCTGATTGACGTCACGACAGCCAGCAGATGTGACGGATGCAGACAGCAAATCAGCTGACTGAGGAGATGCTGTTTCACTGCTGGGTTTTTGGGGAGGCACCACTTTACCAAGGAGGGGGCAAACGCTTGGGGGTTCACCTGGGAGGGGCCAGGGTCTGTGGGTGCCCACACCTGCCATTTGTGATGGGGATATAATAGGGCAGGCAAGATCCAACACCACTTTGGTTTTTTCCTGCGTGCACTGGCCTTGCTCAGGGCTGTTTATTTGGGTTAGGCAGGGGCGTCCTGCCGGCGTGCTGGTGGTGCCGAATGCTTTCCCCGTTTACGCCGAATGTGTAAATGAGCAGCAGCTGCCTCTGCCCTCCTGTTGCTCAGCATCCCCCAAAATGTGTTGTGAACAGGGACTGAAATAGCAAGCAAATGTCAGTGATGTGCCAGAGCTGCACCGGGCTGCTCTCCTTCTGCAAAGGGAAAGCTGGAGATGAATAAAGCCCAGTTTCTGCAGCGTGGCACTTCAGGGGGCAGGCTGAGCTGGCTCTGGGGCGGTGCTGGGTGAGGGACAATCACTGGCAGCGCTCTCCCCAGGAGAGATGCTCCAACCTCCAGTTCAGAGGAGCAGAGTAAAGGCTGACATTTACAAAATGGCATTGGCATTCAGGCCATTCCATTTTGTGCTCCATGGCTTTGAATCACAGGCTCTGACTTGCGTAGATGGGCACCCAAAGGTGACCTGTATTAAAAGCTGCCTTTGGCTTCACAACTTGGGTGTCACAATCCAAGCTGTACTTACAGAGCACCTTGCTCTCTACTCATATCACAGCTTTGCTCCCTGCTCCTGGACCTGCCCTCTCCCTCTGCTCTTTTGTGTCTCCTGGTTGATTTTGCTGCCCAGCTGCAGAGCTCTATAGTGTTGAGCTAATGGCTGGATTTTTCAAATCACATCAGGAGATTTTGGTTCCTTCCCAGTAAATCCTACAGGGCCGAGCATCCTTGAATGTATCAGGGCCAGGATCAGAGGGAGGAGACAACTGGGGATTATAAATAAGTGGACATGACAGGATGTAGAGTGTCTCAGTCAGTCTGGAGGGACACACAGTCATGATCACAGAATCACGAGGACCATCCAATCCAACTCCTGGTCCTGCACAGAACAACCCCAAGAATCACACCATGTGCCTGAGAGCATTGTCAAAATGCTTCTTGAACTCTGTCAGGCTTGGTGCTGTGACCACTTCCCTGGTGAGCCTGTTCCAGTGCCTGACCACAATCTGGGTGAAGAATCTTTTCCTAATTTCCAGCCTAAACTTCTCCTTGACACATGCTTCATGCTGTTACCAGTCCTGTGACTGGTAAGGTTAATATCATCCAGAATTCTGGCATCGAAATGATTCAAACAACCAGGTGATTTCATCAAAGAGTTTGCTAGAGCTCATAAACCTGGCTCAGAGGCTAGAAACTACAGCCCCCCCAGTTTTTTTGGGACAAGACAAATGTCACCTAACAGCAATATTTCCATCGAATTCATCCACAGCTTTCTGCAAGCCTGACATCTTTACCAGCAGGAGAATAAAAAGCCTCAGAAAGACAGAACTGGCAGGAGCAAGCACTTCATGCTGCTGCTGCAGATTGGGCACCGATGAAATCATTACTGAGTATGGCCTCCAATTCCTTTTCATTAGACAAATGTAACTGGGTGCCCACAGCAGTTGTCCTTAGTCCCAAAAACATGCATCCCCATCATACTGAATGAATGATCAGAATACAGTAACGAGTCTTACTGCATCCTTTTTTGTGTATTCAAGTAACTTGTATTAATTGCATTCTAATACCAGGGAGCACACAGGTCCTCACCAGCTTTATTTCCAGATGGTATTTTGAGCCTAATGTCACAGTGGGAAGTCATAAATCTCTCCTAGAGCAAATTACCTGAAGACTTAAACAGTTCCATTCTCACTAAAGAAAACGAATTTCTGTATCCTAAATAGGTTCTATTCCTGGGCTGAGCCCTGAGTGTGCACTGCTGTCCTGCACCTCTGCACCATGGCCTGACTGCTTCCCTGTTTTAAAGCACCCAGCTGTATCCTCATGCTGGTTATAGGTTCCTGTTATGCATTTTGAGAACACAGGTTGGCTAGAAAGGAGAAGCAAACACTTTGCCTTTACCAGTGTAAGGAAGCATTACCTGGGTATGCAGACTTCGTATCAAAGAACATGAAGAAGGAGAGCTCTCCCCAGGACTTCAGAGCCAAGGGGGAGCGATGGACAAAAGCACATTGCTGTAGCACCCCAGGGAGCATTCGGTGATCTCTGAGGAGTTGCTGGCTATGCAGTATCCCCCACAGAGCTGTTGGGGCCTCCAAGACCCACTTAGACTCACCGTGGTTTCGTCTTCATGGAGCACCTGGTCGTAGCCACTCAGCGCGACACAGAAGATGATCGCTGTGACATCCTCAAAGCAGTGAATCCACTTCTTGCGCTCTGACCGCTGGCCCCCGACATCGAAGAGCCTGTGGCACAGGGGAGCACCATCACCACCCATTCCTCCCCAGCTACCAGGGAACTTGAGCATTCTGGGCATTCTCTGACCACGTGGGTCCTGGGAGGATCCAAGCACAAAGCAGTGGGTCTTTCACTGCTAGCTTGGTCTTCTCCTCCAGGGCCTGCAGCTGAGGAGAGCCAGGAGGAGCAGTTACAGACAGGGATGTGCAGATCCATGGGAGAGCCTTAGCAGAGTGCTGGGTCCCAAAGGATCAGTAGAGGTGGAGACCACACACTCTTGACTTTTATATGCTCTAAATACTGTTTGTGTGTGGCTTTCTGTTGTTGTGCCCTCTTCTCTCTACTGGATGGCATCATGAGGGTTAATGTATTGTGTTAAATACATGTCACTGACCCACTTAAGAGAAAAGATCTGGCCAAATATTTTTACATTTATGAGGTTTGATCATATTTGGGGGTCAGTCTTTCATTATACATTCCAGCAAAGAGGTGTTGTTTGGGTTAGAAGAAGCTGCCATGTTCTATCATAACAGGCAGTGACTTTCAAGACAGGATTGCCAAACTTTTCATTTTGTTGACCCTCCAAAGTGCTGTATCTTCTGCAGTGGGAGCTGTCCATGCATTAACCAGCAATTTAACAACTTCTCCTTTAGGAACTATGGGGAAACCCTATGATAAATAGTTGTTCTGCAAATTTACTGTACAATTTTAGACTAACCTGAAGTGGAGGTTTTTGAATGTGAAATGGGTTTCTACGATGCCAGTTGTTTTGACCCTGGTTCGGAGGATATCCTGCTCCGTGGGCTGGTAGTCTGCAGCTCCAATTCGATCTAAGCTGTCTAGGTAGCTAAGAGAAGAAGGGAAAAGAGAAAGAAAACAGCTAAGAATAAGACACACATTAATCTTTGTCAATCTCAGATGAATCCTTCAGCTTCCTATTAATCTTTTTCAATCTCATTTTTCATGGCTGAATGTATTGTAGCTAAAGGAAAAAAATATCCTATTCTGGGGAAAAACAAACCTCAGTAAGCTAAGCATAAAATCTGATAGGGGACTGAAAGCAGGAAATTAAGCATGGTGTGTTGTGAGTCCCGCCTGCAATCTGTGAAAATACACAGTTTTAATATTAACTTGCTATTTTTATTCCCTGAGGAACAAGGGTCCAAATCAGTCCATTGTGTTGGATTCTGTACACAAAACCTGTTTCTGCCAGGGTTTATTCAGATAAGAGCTGCAGCATACAGGTCTTGCTCCCAGAACACACAGGTCGAGTCCCCTTTGGACATGCCTTCTGTGCTGGGAAGGGAGGGAGGGACATGCCATGCCTTGCTTCCAGTCAGCTCAAATGAAGGGAGATGAATCTGCACAGGAGAGTCACTGCTTCAGTTTGAAACCCAGCACAGGGCTGGGGCTGCACGAGATGCTCCTCTTGGAAAGAATCCAGGACTCCACTTAAATGGTGATAATCTGGGAGTACAAATTGGGGATTTGGGGGAACAGATAGGAGATTTAGCTTCTAAAATGCTTGGACAGTTTAAAATGTAACTTTATTCTGCTTTAGGCTTGAAATCTATGAACACAGGCAATGCCTCTCTAGGCTGAAACTTGGGGTAGGAAGTCCTGTCTTTTGGCATGAAACATTTATGTAGAGGAACCCAACATCTTTGCACATATGACCACAATCCAGTTTTCCATCCACATTTAAGACAATTTAAAAAACAATTTATAAAGAAAAGAGGAACTTGGATTACCATTTAATATGAACTATAAACACAGACCTGCATCACACAGCACAGTCTTTCTCACCACCATTAAGCCTCCACGCAGACAGCCCAGTTTCTCTTAAAAGGGGTTTGATGTGCATTACAGGGCATAAATGTCCACCTCTGGCCCCAGGAGCATCAATCTAATGCTCTGAGATGCTTTCAATGTACTGTGAATATAATAGAGCACGTCTGTGCATGAACAGTGCTCTTTTCCTTTGATCCCTGTGCCTGCATGTCACCCAGAGAGGCAGTGGGGCAGGAGGTGACCTGCTGGTGGCAGGACAGGAGGGTACCTGTTCAGGTGCCAGAAGATGGCAGTTTTGCCCAGTGCAACAGGCAGTGAATAAAAAGTAGTAAGAGGAGCTGCACAGTTGCAGAGAAGAAGAGGACTTTGCTGTCTCATGTAAGAGTTTGCTGGTGAGTGTGACATTATATCAGCTGGAACCATTCACTCAAGACAGACATGATGTCTATGCTTGACTTTCAGTTTAGCTAAATGCAATTTTTTTAAAACACAGAACATGGATTTAGTCCTGATGAGTAAACAAACCAACACCCCTCATTTGCCTTGCCATAGCACATCCCATTTGGCCTGAACTTGGCCCTGACCTGCTGCTGGAGATGCTATCCCTGCTGCATCCAAAGCAGGAATGGCTTTCCACTTGTGTCCTGGAGGGAGTGCACTGAGCCAGGGCTCTGGAGCAGGACACCTGGAGAGCTGGGGCTGTGCACTCTGCTACCCAACAAAACTCCCTGCCACTGTCTCTCATATCTACCCCCCAAGCCTGGAACAACAAACAGACAGCCAAACTCTACACTAAGGTCAATACAAACCTCACCCTGCTCATGTCATGTATTTTCCCTGCCCATCATATTTATAATTTGTTTTTGCTAAACAATTCCAAGAATCACGTCACCCAGAGGAAAGTATATAAGCTAAGCAGGCTTATTTTTGTTGTGCCCTTTTTCAAGCATTTAAAGGCATTGTGGTTTTGTGACAGATACTCCTTTAACAACCCTGTGATGGGCACTGGATGGATGAATGGGGCTTCATTTGAAATCAGATCCTGGGCTGTGACGCTGAAGCCACGATCACTCATCTATTCACAACTGGTGTCAACTGCTGTTATTTAAGAGACAGCTGCATCTCTTCACAGGGCCCTGCAGACTGAGGCAGCTCTGCAGTGCTGGTATTCAGAGACTCAGGCTCTCCTCTGTCCTCAGGAAATTCAAGGTGATACTAAAAAGCTGAGGTGTAAGAGGGGGGATTTTCTTTTCCTCTTGCAGCTCTTGGCAGTATCCTGAAATCCTTTATCACTTCCTCCTTCTTAATTTTCTGCATTTTCTGATGACCAAACTCTCTTCAATTGAACATTCTCCTTTAATTATTCTTGCTTTTGAGATCCTCCTTTTATCCTGGGAGTGCAGCAAACGAAATTTACTGCAAACTGGCCAAAGGACTCAGGTCTTCAGCAGCGCAGTGATGGAGAAGCTCGTTACTGTAATTGCTGCTTTCAACCTGCCATGATTTGCTGGTGAATGGCATCATCACCTGAACCCTGGGCTGTGTGCTGGGATTTCAGAGCATTCTCACTCACACTACAGCATGCCCAGTCCATGGCTCCTCCACACAGCATTCCCCTGGGCTGCCTGACAGCAAGTCAGCTCCAGATTTGACTTGGTCCTGCATTCAACCTGGGTCTGAGGCTTGGAAGGCTTTACCTCCCTTCCCTTGTGATGCAACCTCGTGTCTGGCTCCAGCTGAGTTCTCTGGGGGATCAGGGGTTTGGGGAAGTGGTACAGCCTGCCAGCCTCTCAAGAGGGCAAGATGAGAGAGGGAGAGCCAAGCAGGATCCATCCCATGTACCCTCTCCTACCTGACAACATCCAGTTTGTGATCCCACCTGGGATATCTCCATGGAAACCTCAGCTGGGGGCCCTCTAGCACCTGCTTCCCAGGGCTTAACTGGTTCTTGGCAGAAGAATACTCAGTACCCTCAGTACTCAACCTTTTCTGGCTGCAGGTGAGCTGAGCTCTGCAATGTCAATCCCACACCAGTGCCTCCAGCCTGGCTGCTGTCAATCCCAGCTCCAATACCTGCTTGCCAATACACACTTTACCTTTACTGTTAACTCCTCTCTTCATCTCTTTCCTCATCTCCATTCTTTTCCAGCACTCTGTGTATTTCTCAATGACTTAAATTCTTTCAGTTGTCTGGGTCTGCTTTTCATCTGTTCCTGGGAGTATCAGTGGGGGTCAGCTATCAATTTATATGAAGTTATAAAACATTTTCAGTGCTGGTTTTGAGGCTGCATTCCAAAACTGTTTAAATCTTTGGCTGCTCTGCCCTAGAAAGAGACTCGGGCTGTGGCAGATATTTTTTCCCCTGCACTTGGCTGCAGCTGAGCTGGACCCTGTTGGTGTGTGCAGCCTGTGAAGCTCAGCTGGAGGAGTGTGCCATGGCATGGCTGCCACACTAACAGCCAGCTGTGGGAATGGGAGGATCAGCCAGGCTGCTGTTTGGATGCTGAGCTGATTTTAGCTGCTGCTTGTTCTCCTGGGTTCCTGCTGGAAGCATCTCTGAGGTTTCACTGGGGTGCTGGTGCTCCCTGCCCGTGCTGCTTGGAAGGAGCTGCTGGTGTGAGCCTGGGCTGGGGGAGGACGGTGTACTTTGGGGGTGCCACCTCTTTGGGAACAGGGAAACTCAAATGGGGACAAATTGCTGCACATGGTGCTGGATGGCAGCACTGCTGGTATGCCCTTTGAGCTGAAAATCTCAAGGCCAAACTGTTGTGAAAGATAATTAGTTGTCACAGCCAACAGGCTCTATGACACATAATCCCCTCAGAAGCTGGCATCTGTTTAACCAGCAGAAATAAGAGCACTTTGGAGGCCGTGGAGTGAGAGCTTGGCTCCCCCTTCCACGTCATTGGTGCTGGCATCAGAGCTCTTCCATTTCCCAGCTCCAGGCTTTGCACACTGGAGTGGAAGCATATCTGAAATGACACATCAGCTCTTACTTGCAGCCTGCCTTGCCCTGGGTTTGCAAGGGTTAAAAAAAGCTGAAGGAAGGTTAGAAGGTTTGGGAGTACATGATGAACCCTCTAGCATTTCTGCTCCGGAGCTGAGTAGCTCCATTACTGCTTATATGTTTTATTTTAAATGCTTTGTTTTGAAGCAGATTGCAGGTTTCTGAGTCACTCCGAGTGCCATGCTCAGGAGGTGAAGCCCAACTATGTTATACTGCTAAAAGCAAAATGCAGAGGAAATAGAAATTCACAAATACAGGGTGAGGAGATCATTGAACAGAGTCTAAGAAAGGCAGGAGTCCTACACAGGCTAGTTGACAGTGAATAGCTATACACAGTAGTATTGCCCCTTCATTTGCTGTTTCCAGTGGTAGCAGCACTGTTGGTGCCAGAGACAGTGCACGGAGAAAAGGAACTTTTGTCCAGGTGTCCCACAGGAACAGCTCGGTGGCAGCAGCCTACGTGCAGTGCGTGCACAGGTACCCCTCCTCAGGCTCCTGGCTCCCACAGGAACCTTCTCCCAGGACTGTGCTGCCTATGCCAAAAGCTCCAGTGGCTGCTTTCTTGGATGAAGAAGTGCAGCTGAGGTTGCAGGCTGTGGTCAAGGCTGGATACCTGCGGCAAAGCTTACACAGACGGACATTCATGTCTATTGAGCTTAACGGCAGTAAGATGGTTAAAGGTCTGTTGGGTTTTTCTTGCCTTGAGGGTGACATCTTGGCAGTCTTTTTGCATCATCCAGCTGTCCCTGTGCACACCCAAGGTGCTCACACCGTGCTGATGCCACGCTCACATCCTCAGTGCTCAACGAGCTGCAGTGCAGCAGCAGCCACAGCTGGGACCTGCTCTGGGGCAGGTCTGCAGGGTTGGAGCTTCAACTCCAGGAGCAAGTCTGGAGACAGCACCATCTTCCCAGTGGCTCCTCCATCCTGGCTGCCCTGAGTTCTGGCCATGTCTCCTCTGTGAAGGAAAGGCCATGTGTGCGTGGGATACCCCAGCCTCGATTTGTTGGCTTGTGTTGTATTTGATGAGGAAGCAGATCCCCATTTGT